GGGGGAAGGTGCTGTGTAGAAAATAATTGAAAAGATGAGTCTTAAAATCTCATGAACTTGCACCTTTCTTCCTCATGAGTGTTGAAGGGCATGAGAAAAAATGAATTCTTTTTGCTGCAGATGCAGAACTCCCTTTTCTGAGGCGTAGAGGAGAAGGTGCTGCCCAGAGCTGGTCCAGTCAGGGTACCCCATCACTCCCAACTAACACACAAGTTAGTGTGCTTTCACCCTCGGGGAGAGGCAAATCTCACAGAAGCAGCTCAATCAGCCTCCAAAACAAAACCAAAAGCAGCCTTTCCTCAGCATACTTGCAGACATGCTGTACTGATGCACCACATCCAGCGTGGAAAGAGAGGACACTTAAGAAATAAAAAAAAAGAGGCACTGAATGAAACTAGGATTCAGTCACTGAGGTTCAAAGCAAAGAAGCGGTCCTACTTGCAGGTGGCAGCTCAGTGAGGAACTCCTCAGCCAAGAGTGCTGAAGACACTGAAAGTTCACATGGGGTCAAGGGAAAAACAGAGACATTCCTGGAAGAGCAGATGGAAACTATGGATGGTTTTATGCCTATCCCCAATGGTTAGGGACAGGAGACCAAGCGAGGGGCATCTTTGATCCGACCAGATATCAGCAAGTGTATGTAGGAAGAGGCCACAAGTACCAGCCATTCCAGTCCCTTACAAGAACTGCCCGTTTCTAGCAAGAGTTAAAGCAGTGTGATCCAATACAAGTTGAGTGTCATTGCAATATTTGATCCTCTAAATTGATTCTCATTGTCTACTTTATGTATCATTTTTTTTTGATAGCTTGTGCTTTAGCCAATTGAATTTGCAAAACCAGTTATATTTTTCATTATGTAACAGATTTTTCCACTCACACACTTTTCTAGACACAGCTACTGAATACATATATCAACTGTGCTGTTTGTAAATGCAAATCTATTTTTGTCCTTTTAAGCAGAATGCATTCTAATTTAAAGACCAAAGAGGTGTTATACAGAACACAAACCTCTCAAACAAGCCTTCGTTTTCTTCTGTTGAGAAGTATACCTAGTATGTCCAAGTTCTAGTCCAACTACAAACAAATGTTATCCAACAGCAAGTTGAACACCACACTTTTTATTACTATTGCTGGAATGTTTAAATGCAGACGACTGCAAGACATTAATCCCCGAGACAGAGCTATAGCACAGCTCTAACAGCAGCACTGCTGTCCCCAGCACGCATGCACTGATGCAATCTCTGAATACAGCAAGTGTTTGCATGGCATCTTCAGCATGGTTTTGTTCCTATAATCTCATGCAATAAACACCTTTCCCCATTAATCTTTCAACACTGACAGTTTTAAACATAAGTGCTACAATTTAAAAAGCTAAATTTGAAAGAGAATATAAACTTGTATCTGCATGCTTTCAAGTGTCTCAGTGCAAAACAAATCATGATCAACTCAGAAGTTGCAGTTAAACTGCAACTTCACCCCAGCCTCTGCTTATATTACAAAACCACCAAAAAAGCAAGAGTTAGCACCACTCAGGCATGAAGAGTGGGCCTGTAGTGTTTCTGACTCGAGCATTACCATCCACACAGCAAACAAAAAAAATCCTTCCCTCCTTCCCCCCTTCCCTCCTCAAGCTCCACGCATATACACATGCAAAAATTTTATGACAAATCTCTTATATTAGATACTTTTTTCTAATAGAGCACTAATATAGTGTCAGTAAAACTTTGCTGAAGTAATTAATGTAATTGCGTCATATAAAAAAGAATCATGGTATAGGACAAAGATTTTGTGTATGTGCTGTTGCTTTACAAGGCTGTGGGTAGTTGTATGCCACCTGAGTTATCCTTTCAAGCACACTTTTCTGGTAAAATATTACACATTGTTTGTACAGTCAATAAGTCTTTCACTACTGAAAAAGTATTTTATTGAAAACTTCTAAAAGGACACAATGATCACAACTAAAGGGGGAATCTGGCACAGAATGTGCTCAGAATTTTTTACAAAATAATTACAATCCAAGGAAAAAAAAAGCCTACATAAATCAGTACGAGCATCATAAAGTATAAAAGCTAAAAGACAAGAAAATTATAGTTCTTGCAATGTAAAACACACTTCGAGAGCTGTATTCTGTTCTCACACCTTTCATGATGTAACTTTTGTTCGGGAAATGATTTCATTCACAAAACTGTTGTTCTTTGCCAATACATCGTTTCTCAGCTGTTTCAGCTTGACTTTGATGTCTTCTTCTGACATATCCGTCAGGGGCAATGCTTTCACTTGACAAAGAAAATCCTGAATTATCTTTTCACCTTCCTGAAATGGAGGGAAGGGAAGGAAAACAGAAAGGATGTTTAGACTGCAAGCAGGACCTTTCCAAATTCTGCCAAAGATACAAAGTATTATTCAGCATCGAAAACTTTTTGCAGGCAAAAACCATCGTTATTTTTGCACTTGTTAGCAAGTTCTCAACACCAGAACAATCCAGTTATAATGGTATCAAGAGTTCTTTCCCCTTTCAATCCATGAGCAAAAAGCATCAGTTGATCAGCAGAAATACAGTATCTAACATTGAGAGCTCTTACATATGTTCCACATGTAACTCCAGTGTGCAACCACATTGGGTGAGGATTGCTAGCAATAATAGCATCAGAGTGGCCATGTTACCCAAACTAGTTACTTTTCGGGGAACTGTAAGTCAAAATCAATGTTTCAATATGCAAAAGGAAAGAACAAATTGTAACCAAGCAACTGGAGAGTGGCTGTCACCAAGGAGAACAGATGATAATTAAGCTTTATGCATATGCTTTTAAACAAACAGGCAAAGTGGAACTTCTCAACAATCTGAATTGAATAGCAAGAACAGACATTTAAATGAACCGTATTCAGGATCTCTGTATAAGAAACAATTTGCCCAGAATACAGGATTTCATCTAGTCCTCTGCATTTTGCATTTTAGAAATCTACTACAAAGTTTTCTTAGTTTTGTTTTATCATTTAAGACTAATGCAATATGCTTTCAATGCAGAAGTCTCCAAAGGACTTTGAAATGTAATAGCGTGCTTCTCCCTCTAAACATGATGTTAATGAACGCAGACAGCATGCCTGGGTGAGGTATCGAAAGCTATACTGTTCTGTTGCCTAGAGAGTTCAGGAAATATTATGTATTACTGAAATATCCAAGAATAAAATACGATGCTGTATTTGTCAGAAGTGTTTGTCACATCGATTTAATTTACACCGACCACACAGCCAGATACAACTAATCTGAAAAATACTTCACTGTGATACCTAGCAAGCTGGCAAAGGGAAGGTAATAGTGGAGCAACTGAGGTAGTTAGAGGGGGAACTTCCTGGCACTAAAAGGTAGGAGAAACCAGAAGTCGTTCACCCACAACATCAGATCCACTCACTGAGCCAGGAACAAATGCAGTAGACCTCTGAAACTGAAAATAAAGTAACAGGTAACAGGCTCTGTCTAAAGTAAAGGCTTTTAAAATGTAGAAAGTGCTTCGGGTATGGACTAACACTTCAAGGCTTCTATATACTTGGAGTATTACCAAGATTGCCACTGACATATACAAGGACATAAATGAGTTACAAAGTTGTGAAGTTTCATGCCAACTGGTGGGACACAAAACAAAGACCTGTAAGCAGATTTATATGCATGCAGCAAGGAGGACCTGACTATTGGCAAAAAACAATGCAACTCATAAGGCAGCATGTGGATTTCCTAGGAGGCTGCAACAATTGTCAGTTAATCCAGCAACAAGACGACACAGGCTATTCTGAAAATGCTTCCTGCAAGCTATTGTTTTCCTTTACCTGCTAATGAAGCTTCTTTTAAGAAAGTGAAGGGAGAAGAGAAAAAAAAGTTCACTCAAATGGCTTAATACAACTGTATTACGCAATGTAGACATGTTCAGATCTATGTTGAGATGTGGGTCTCCTCAACTTCTGCTTGAAGCCTGTGCAAAGCCAAGAGCCTTTTACTTCTCACTTGAGTAGAGAGAACCAAGCTAAAATTCTCACGTGTAAAATAAGAACTTTGAGATCTGTAAATCAGACATTCCAGGTCCAAATTGCCATGTCCTTCAACATGATCAGAGAGATATAACTAACACGTGTTAGTACTGATGCGACATGGAAAGGCACAAAAGAGAAGGCTGTGTACTCAGTTTTTCTCTGATGTGAACAGATCTGAACATGTTCACATAATCACAGAATCACAGAATGGTAGGGGTTGGAACGGACCTCTGAAGATCATCTGGTCCAAACCCCCTGCCAAAGCAGGATCACCTAGGGCACACGTTGCACAAGTCGGGTTTTGAAGGTCTCCAGGTAAGGAGACTCCACAACCTCTCTGGGCAGCCTGTTCCAGTGCTCCGTCACCCTCACAGTAAAGAAGTTTTTCCTCATGTTGAGGTGGAACTTCCTGTGCTGCAGTTTATGCCCATTGCCACTCGTCCTGTCACTGGGCACTGCTGAAAAGAGACTGGCTCCATCCTCCTGACAGCCACCCTTCAGATATTGATAGACATTGATAAGCTCCCCTCTCAGCCTTCTCTTCTCCAGACTAAATAGCCCCAGGTGCCTCAGCTTTTCCTCATACGAGAGATGTTCCAGTCCCTTAATCATCCTCAAAGCTCTCCGTTGGACTCTCTCCAAAAGTTCCCTGTCTCTCCAACTGGGGAGCCCAGAACTGGACACAATACTCTAGATGGGGTCTCACCAGTGCAGAGTAGAGGGGGAGGATAACCTCTCTCAACCTGCTGGTCACACGCTTCTTAATGCACCCCAGGATACCACTGGCCCTCTTGGACACCAGGACACATTGCTGTCCCATGGATAACTTATTGTCTACCAGGACTCCAAGGTCCTTCTCCATGGAGCTGCTTTCCAGCAGGTCAACCCCTAACCTGTACTGCTGCATGGGGTTGTTCCTTCCCAGGTCCCAGGTGCAGAACTCTACACTTGTCCTCGTTAAATTTCATGAGGTTCCCCTTCGCCCAACTCTCCAGTCTATCCAGATCTTGTTGAATGGCAGCACAGCCTTCTGGCTTACCAGCCACTGCTCCCCAGTTTTGTATCATCAGCAAACTTGCTGAGGGTACATTCCAACCCTTCATCTAGGACACTGATGAAGATGTTGAACAAAACTGGACCTAGTACTGATCCCTGGGGAACACCACTAGCTCCAAGCGGACTGTGTGCCACTGACCACAACCCTTTGAGCTGTGTTTTTTGAGCCAGTTCTCAATCCATCTCACAATCCACTCATCCAACCCGTACTTCCTGAGCTTCACTATGAGGATGTTATGGGAGACAGTGTCAAAAGCTTTACTGAAGTCAAAGCTAAGCCACATCCACTGCTCTCCCTTCATCTATCCAGCTAGTCACTCCATCATAGAAGGCTATCAGATTGGTCAAGCATGATCTCCCCTTGGTGAATCCATGCTGACTACTCCTGGTAACTTTCTTTTCATTCATGTGCCTAGAGATGGCCTCCAGAAGGAGCTGTTCCATCACCTTCCCAGGGATGGAGGTGAGGCTGACCCGTCTATAATTTCCCAGGTCTTCCTTCTTGCCCTTTTTGAAGACTGAGGTGACATTGGCTTTCCTCCAGTCCTCAGGCACCTCTCCCATTTTCCATGATTTTTCAGAAATGCAGAGAGGTGTTGCAACAACATCAGCCAGCTCCCTCGGCACTTGTGGGTGCATCCCATCAGGGCCCATGCATTTGTGAGTGTTCAGCCAGCCAGCGTTCATGTTCACGCTGAGCTTCAAGAAATCAGCATTAACGAGCCCTCAAATAAGGGGGAGCAAAACCAGGTGCAACCCACCTGCAGAGCCAAGAATAATCTAAAACACAATTAAGACACAATTCTGGCATGGTTCACACATAAAGAAAACTGCACAGGGCAGCTAGAGAAACAGTTCCTTGTATGACTCCGGTTATATGCCAATCATAGCAACTGCTGATCATTATTGTTTAAGAAAAAAAAGTAAGTTTCATTCTCATGACTATGTTTTTAGATAAAATTCTTGCCTACGTTATCTCAAAATGTATCTAAACCAAAACCCACTATCCCTGAACATATCTTCAACTCCTAATGAACTTCATAGCTAAAAGATTTTGTTATGGAAAAATGAGATTATAGTTAATTATCCTCAAGCTCTGGGGGAATCTGATTCCTTAAACTATTGTGCTTGGGCTACTCAAGCTAAACAAATTTAAAAAGGCATTCCACTTTCTCTGTGGAATTTCTTGGCTGGTGGTTCTCCTCCAGATTCCTTGGACTTGCCAATGTTTTGAAACTCCTCCAGCTCCAATGCTTTCTCTCTTGCACTTTCTATCACGTGTTTTGGGAAAGCTGCCAACTCTGCTACATGTATTCCAAAACTCTGGTCACACACACCTGGATGCAGAGAAAAAGTCAGTAAATAATTCTCAAGAGATAATATGGCTACACAGAGATTATATGAACAAACTTGTAGTAGTTCTCCACTCTGAAGAAGTAAGTGTGTGACATCATTTGGTTCTGCTAACATTTGCTGATTTACCTTTTGGACTATACATGGTAACATAGATTAAAGAACACATTCTTGTTTAATTAAGCGCTCTCAGAGCAGTAATTGCAGAGCTCCAAAAGTACTTCAGGAAGAAAGGGAAAACTCTTCAGGCAGAAAGAATTTCCCTTTAGTACTTGAATGAAATTGAATAATGGTTTTTATTAAAGTACTTCAGCCCAGTCTGTAGAATATAGTAATTAGCATAATTTGTTTTTAATAGATCTCTCACATTTTCTGTATTTATATATGTGTGTATATACATATATAAAAATATTAAAAACGTTGCATTCTCCATCATCATCCTCCTCCTTTGCATCAGTACCATGTGACACCTCAGTCTCCAGGATTCGTCTTTAATTATATTCCTTTCAACTTTATTTACTTCAATTAATACACTATTTATATCACTTGGTTGAAAAAGAAAAGTTCTCATGATTGCTCAAAATATGTCAATTATACAGAAAGTAATTTTCACTTCAATATCAAAAGCCTTCTGATACAATGTGTCAACTCCGTTCATTTACATTACCATAATTCCAGTTGGCCACGCACAAATACTACTACATCCTTTTAATTCTGGTCTCCAGCAAGGAGGTATGAATAAATGAATTGCACATGTAAAATGATACTTAATTAATCATCTATTAAATACTGGGTAACTGAAGAGTAAGTAAAGGAAAACTTAGCATTTAGAGTTTTTTCTGTTTTATTAACATTGTAATCTTTCAAGTTTCTTAAAGAAAATTAAGAATCCTGAGCAGAGGCCTGGAGAACAGTACTTTCCATGTCTCATCTTCCAGCAATTCTGTCACACTCTTGAAGCATGAAGACAGGGATGAAAATAGTGTATAAAAGTTCCTTGTCATGCATTTCAGATTTAGTTATACGTTTCAATTCACATGAAACCTGTTATTTTTTTCAAAATACAGTTGTATCCAAGCTGCCTATACTCACATCCTTGCCTGAACAATGAACGAGCACAACACTAAATGCAAAAACTCCCATGAAAGACATCCAACTTCAGACCAGGTATTTTAAGATGAAGATTTCATAATCTTGTACCTCATCTGACAGAGGTTTAAGTAGATAAATACAAACTATTGTGCCTCTATGCTCAATAACACTTCCAAGAAAATGGATCAAATGAAAAGACACTGCACGTACAGAGATAACACGTGTATGACTAAAAATGGAAAAAATTATTGAAGAAAAATATGAAACCGGGGTTCTAGAGTTTTCATCAGGACCAGAATGGGTGAGTTAATACAGGTTTAAAAAAAAAAAAAAAAGGGCAGGGGGGTGACAAAAGAATTCACCCAACTATCTGGGGAATATCAGGGGGGTTTATTTTAAGAGTTGCTATTCCAAAGGATTTAGAAGGTAGTAGGTTTGCTTCCCTCCCCAACCTAAGTACTCAAAATAAGGCATCTAAAGATGGATTGTTTGAAGATACTGTACATCACCAGCTCCCATTGCATTGAAAACACTCATAGTTTCAATGTACGCTTGCAGCAATTTATGACTATACTTCGTCTTCAGTTCCCATGCCACACTAAATCATATCTTAAGCATTGATATGAGCAAGGCCTTCAGAGGGCTCTGAACCTTCACTGGGTGGAAGGGGGTCAACATGTTCTGGAAAAGATGGGAAACGGCAAACTACGAAAGAACCACTGGAACAGGCTGGGTACCAAGGCCACAGCACCTTGGACTAATACTCAGAAGCAAAGCCTGGGCATGAACAAACTGGAGAACAGAGGCTGTTTCTAAGGAGTAAAAAATCTCAAAAGACAAGGACACAGAGCTAAAAGAAATAAGACTGTGGCAGCCAGAGATATTCTAACCAGCTTTAAATAGACTTTCAGTAAAGCCAGAGAAGAGCAGTACTTCTGGTCATGCTTTGATTCCCCTTCTTCAGAGCAGTTTCCTACCTTTACAGAAAAGTACCCAAAATCTAGTTGCAAAGACTATAGCCACAGGGGAATACAAAATTAGAAGTGGCTATAGAAGTAATCGAAGGGCAAGAAATTAAGTAATTTCATGGATTTAAAACCAGAAGAAACGAGTAAGAAACAGTCAATTAGTAACGTCATAGGAGTAAAACTAGCATGGTACCACTTGAGTGAGGCTCAGATCAGGATATAATACAAGCACATTTACCAATTATCTAGACACTTCATAGTATGGTGAAGATTATACAATTATCTTTAAAAGCATAACAGTAAAATTTAATAATTGGACAGCATATTAGATTCCTTATCAGATCAATATATGCCAAAAGAAATGAAAAGTTGTAAGCTGGCTAAAGAAATAAGGAAATATTGGAGAGAATTCCAGGAAAACACATACTGAATATGGACTGGTCATGAAAAGCAGAGTTATTAGCATGAACTAGGCAAGCAAAAGTAAGTATTTGGTATTGTGTCAATATGACAAAAAAAGTTTTTAAAGTGAGGAATGAAGTTCAGTAATTGTCCCTATAAGATTAAATCCTAACCTAAAAAGATATAAGTAAACATCAGTCTCCAGGACTTGAGATAAGGACTAGCTCCTTAGCCTTAACAAGGATGGATGATACTTAGTAGTTGTTTAGTAAAGATAATAGCCTAACTCTTAAAACAGTTATTCCTTATTTGAGACAAAACCACTCCACAAGGCAAGTTGTTGATAGGATCCAGTATAGCCAGTGTTCTATCCATCTGAGTGCCATCTAATTCCTTCATTGTGGAACGCAGAAAAGGAAAATTAAGAGGCATTTTTAAGTGAAAACATAGCGTAGCAGTACTCTGCCACATTTTAAATCAAGATCTCAGTCCAGAGGTTGGCAACCTGACTGAACTGCTCTTATGCAAACAACAAAATTTGGTTGGTTTGTTTGTAAACGAAGTTTAGTTTACAACTGAATTAGAATGCCATAAATTATCACACCTGTGAAGCCAGTTACACAGCCCTGCTTTATTTAGCATAAATACAGGCTCCTGCTGCAGGGAGCAAGAACAAATAACTGGGGATATAGAGAAGCAGGAGGAACCTCTTATTGAAGTTACAGATGAAATTTATGCCCAATTAAAAATGGTCTAATTTAATACTGAAAGGAATAACTGGATTCACTAAAGGATTCTAATTAAATACATCTGACTTATCATACACTAATAAAACAGGCTACTTGTTTTACTATGATGCCATTTGCTAAAAACTAAACATACGATTTTTCCTATATCAAACTACTGATAAATTAGGCAACATCTTTCTTCAATGACTAAGCCTTATTACAATGAAACAGACATTATTAAAAACTGTCAGCACATTAGACTTGTACTCATTTCTTTTAAAAGAACAGTTTAAAGAATGTAAGTCTTTTCTATCAGAAAGTTAAAATGGCCGATTTAGGAAAACAGAAAATAACCTTTTGAACCCTTCTCTCTGCGCTTTAAAAAACAAAAAGACTGACCTCAAAAGCATTGACTTGAGCAACAGAAATAACATAGAAGTCTTAATAAATAATCATCAACATCATCACCAACTGTGTTCACACATGGACAGAGCTCCTGCCATACACACTCTATGGACACAGAAGAACATGTCTATTATAAACCCTAAGCCTGGAGTATGACACGAAATTTAGTTTTTTTCCATTAAGATTGCTTCCTCTCAGGGTGAAATAAAGTTTACCCTGTTCACCGTTTACACAGTCTTACCTTCCTTGACACGATAAAGCATCGTCAGAGTGTCATTACTCGTCAGAGCAGTAACATGTAGGTTATTTACTGTTGGCACTTGGTCAGCAAGAGCTGTCAGTTCATGGAAATGTGTAGCAAACATACAGAAAGCACAGATTTTGCTAGCAATGTATTCTGAAATAGCCCATGCTAAGCCAAAGCCATCGTAGGTAGAAGTTCCTCTTCCCAGCTCATCAATGATTATCAGGGAGTTTTCAGATGCAGTCCTAAAAACACAAGAGCATTTTATAACATTTAAGATCTGCAAAAACTCTTATGTTGGGGGGGCGGGGGAAGTGGCAAAAGATCTTTCCTGTTTACATAACAGCATATGCACGAAGTGCACATGCAGTGTCACACAGATCATTCCAAATTAGTTTTTGTCCCATTTAGCCTTCAGCCTCCTGGCAGCAGCTCTATTTGACCACTAAAATAAACAGAAGGCTACTTTGAGAACTTACGAGCCTGCTAAAAAAGACTTCAGATCCTCCACTGAGATCCTCCATAAAAGGAAATCTTAAATGCATCTTTCTTAGAGCACCTCCTTTCCCATCAACCCCAACCAACAAAATCAAGTAAGCACAGGACTTACCTAAGGATTGAAGCCGTTTCTAACATTTCAGCCATGAAAGTAGACACCCCTTTCAGCTGACTGTCTCCAGCTCCCACCCGAGCCAGGATACAATCCACAATGGTTATTTCTGCAGAGTCGCATGGTACAAAACACCCAATTTGGGCCATAAGAACAATCACTCCTGTCTGTCGGATGTAGGTTGATTTTCCCCCCATGTTAGGGCCTAAAGAAGAAATTTTGCAACTGAATTAAAACCCCATCATCTTTTACAATTTAACAGTTCTTTTAAAGGAGAACAGGCTCTAAATGAAAACAAAGAACTTTTAAAGAGAAGCAGACTTGTCTAACAGGTGCAACAAGTAGTTCCACTACTAATAAGGCTCGCTTGTATTTCTTACTGAATGCTGCTTTTTCAAAAGAAAGGTGATCACAGAGCATTAGGGGCCCTCAAGAGTTTTGGGACTTCTCAGAAGTACAAGCAGTCATCTAAAACACATGTCCATACCTCAAACAAATAAGCTTAAAGTCATCAGTATTGCTGCTTAAGAATGAAAATAATTTGCTTTCATCTCAAACAACAATTACAATTTGTCTAAAAATGAAATAGCTTAGTTACAGACCAGGTACAAGCTAACAGGTGATTTAAATTACGGCCTAGAAGGATTCTGAATCAGCAGAAACAACTATGAATAAGTTAATTTTAACTGAAGTACAAATGCAATAAAAAGTATTTTCTAGAAAATTTATCATTAAAACCAATTTGACAGTTTTGCTAAACAGAAAGACAAGCACATTATCATGCATTTATTCAGATTTTTTATTTTTCTTTTTGATTATGTTGGAAGTCTTCATTAATCATTCTCTAATTTCAGATCTTTGCTACTCAGAATGTATGTCAAGGACATCTGAATGGAAATTAAAATTCAATTCAATGTATGAACACTAAAAATGTTTTCCTGTGTAGTAAAAATTATCTTAATTACACCAGAGAATAGGGGAAAAAAAGAGGGTGCAGTCATTGAAACATGTTTTGCATTTAATACTAAACAAAGAAAATATTAACAAAGAGGCTGCTTAAAATATTGCCTACAGAAGTGCCTACATGGCTATAGTACAATTGATGCCTAGTGGAATTTTCCAAATTACTTAAGCATGTTCAGGTTGTCCAGCTCCTGAGCTTTCCTGGCTTGTGGAGTTACATTCACTAATGCAAAGAATACATATACTAAGGAAGGACTAATTTCTTATTTCCTACTGTCCAGCAGCCTCTTCTTCCCAGATGACTATTTCTAAATTAGTGATCATCTTCTCCAAACAGCATACTATAACAACAATCAACAACTATTATTCCATGATTATTAGTTTAGAAGATGAGAAATATGCCTGCATGTGCACAAACGCATAGAATACTGACTATCAAAGGAAACATTTCACAAGAACATTGTGGGTACTTTCTTTTTTTAATATAATAAACAACAATAGCTTACAAATACCCTCCCATCTTTTCCAGACCTAAATCTTATCACCCATACAGAGAGATAAAAAACTTACTAGCTGCTCACCCTTTGCTGATCAGAGAAATTGTTTTGACAGAGTTTGGTTTGTTTGCTTGGTTTGGGTTTGTATTTTTAAAGACATCATTATTGGAAATACTCGAGACATTTAAAACTTAAGTAACAAATGAAAATTAGAACAGAAACATTTACCAGTAATAATGTGGAACATCTGCTTGCCCTTCTCAAATGTAATGTCATTGGGGATGAAGGCCACCTCATCTTGCACTTCGATGCAAGGATGCCTGGCACCTTTCAGTACAATCCTTCCTTGTCCGTTTTCCCGAATGACAGGACGGACATATGGCACTGGTGCTCCATTTGACACATGAGCAAAACTGACAATTGCATCTAAATGAGCTATCACATCATTCATCGTCTGTATTGGTTCTGCATAACCTGTTTTTGATTAGAGAGATACACAAATTCAACACAGTTAGAAATTTTTTGTTCTTGCCAAAAGGATATCTTAACATAGATGTTCTAACATGTTTGAACACCACCTCTTGAACTGGCTAGGTATAGATCATTAAGAGGACTTCAAGTCATTTTTATTCAAGAATTACACATACAATCCAATTTTTTTCATTAAATTGCCTCCACTTGAGGAAGAAAAATGCTTTTTAAATACACATATACACTTGTAAGTCTACGATTGCACACTACAGAAGCTTTAAGCAGCAACAAGACTTTATTAAATATACTAAGTATTTATAGATGACATAATACCCAATTAGCTTTCCACAAATATCCAAACCTTAGTATGCTACACACAAAAAAACCCACTTGAAAATTACCAAGATTAAAAAAAAAAAAAAATCTAACGACCTACTAATTTTGCAATATACTGGCAAATTCCTTATCATGACAACGGGTCAAAGCTTATGAAGATTTCCACCATGACTTGAAACACACTCAAGTATATTAATACATCAGCTTAAAAAGTGTTTTTTATCTTTAATACATTTACTCTTAAGCTTAATATTCATTACTGCTTTCATTTTCCACTTATCTCTTTCAAAGAACTAAGATTTGTTCTGATGGAACTAGTGCCTTTGGGAGAGGCAGTATTTACATAATCCTCCAGCCCAAATTCCCAGATGTCTCTTCTCCTTTTGGTGAAGGATAGTAAAGAATGTCCTGTAAGTAAGCAGTCTTGGAGCAAAATATATAGAAATTAATTAGGAAAACAATTATTTTTTTATTGTACCATATAAGCAATGACTAACTTGATCTTATATTGCATACCAATGTTCTTTCTTCACCATCCTTCACAGACCTCAGGACCCACTCCCTCAGTTCTCAGTTGTCCTCTACATCTTCTGCCTTCTATTTGCAGAAGTCTGCTATTTGCATGGAGATGCCCAGAGTCAGGGAGGTAGGTGGAGGATAGATGTGGCCTTTATGGGCATATTTTTGTTCCTTTTATGGGATTAGCATTTGCACACACCCCATCACTGCACATCTGTAGCACTGCCAGGAAAGGGTCTGTCCATAAAACAATGTATTTCAAACTTTCAACAACTGTCTACAAGCCGAACCTCGTTTTTCATGCTAATTCTTTGGGGAATGTTATGGTTCTTCTCTATAGAAGGACCTACAAAGTAACTGCAAGTCCTCCCAGCATTCCAGACTGTGATACACATCAACATTGACATATTCACCTGAAGCAATGTTAATGATTTCCTTAACAATTGCATCCTGAGCCTCTTCATACTCTTCTCTGTTCTTTATGTATTCATCATTGACAGAGCTCAGTTTGCTGTGAACAAAACCACAATATTTAGAAGCTGTGACATTCTGTCTCCACTGCTACAATACCAAACTTCTGGCCTCCTATGAGTCAATACGTGTTGTCCCCCACCTGTTTTAACAGCAAGGTTCAGCACAACAACCACAAAGAAACTAATCTAGGTTTATCCACACCAGGCTATCAGTAAGATTCATTCCAAGTTAAAGATCACCCACAAGGACCAAACCAGCAATTCTAGCACCTCTGAACACATCACTCTTGAAACTCCTACAGTTGTTTGTTGTAGACATGCTACGTGATAAGGACTTGCTCTTAAAGCTGAATTTCTGGCCATTTTGCAACAAGATATGGCATGTTATAGAACTGGCAGAGGAGAATTGCTGCTAAGCAACTGTCTAATTAGCCCAGAGTCCTACAACAGGCTTATCAGAGCTGAAGGCATTGACTTCTTTCATTTAGTAAAAACCTCAGTGAACGACTGTCACTAAGAATAGGTTCCAGTCTTCAAAATAAGGTTAAGTTGAAAACAAGAGAGAGTTTAAGCAAGTGTTTATTCTTCTCAGGCTTGTCTCCAAAAACAGAGCAAAGTCTGCAGGACTGAATATGAAACACACCCAAGTAGTGCACCCACAGCAGAAGTTAGCCTTGTACTTCTAGTATCATCTACAGAATCAACTATAACTAAGGACAGAGAAGTCTTTTTTATTAGTGATCCATGGGCTTCTTCCCTAAGGGAAAGTAACAGATGACACTTACAGTAGAGGATCCAAGTACCATCTTCTCAGTTACAGAAAAGCCTAATTTCATCATTACGTTTAGATTCATAACATATTTAGAGACAAAAAAAGGGTTTTAAATTTCAGGGATGCTTTGAAAAAATACCCTCTGAGTAAACGTTAAAACAAAATGCAATTAAGGTTTACACTTTGTTCACTTAAGTAAAGTGGTGTGAAATACACCAACACATTGGTTGGCATGAACCAGTATGTTTGCCCTCCTTTTATTACTATGAAAGTGAGTGATAAGCAGAAACAGTAATAGCACTGGCTTGAAACCAGCCTTGACCTGTATGCAGTGCTCCTCATGTCTGTCAATCAAGATCTCTCTCAATAAACTCACTTCTTTGATGCTAACTCCAGCAGGAACTGTTATACATAAAGGGATAGCAGCATGGTTTGTCTGAAACAGACTGTATGATGTATTAATCTCTGCTATTTTTACCTCTCCATATGTTAACACATGCGGAAGACTTAAAGACTAGTTTTCCCCTGGACTTGCCATTGACAGACAAGGAAGAACTTGCCAAGAGGTTGAAGTCCAATTAGTAGCTGATTATTAGCGGCATTTCTCAGAGTTGGTACTGGGGCTGATACTGTTTATGCCTTAACAGCCTGAATGATGGGACTGAATGCACTCTCAAATGCACTCCCAAGCAAGGCTATGAACAATACCACATTAAGGGGAGCTGTCAGTACACTAGAGCACAGGGCTGCCATTCATTGGGGTTTCTACAGACTAGAGAAATAGGTGGACAAGAACTTCAACACAGGCAAATGCAAAGTCTTGCACCTGGGATGAAATAACTCCATGCAACAGTACAGACTGGGGTCCAAATGGCTATAAAACAGCTATTCATGGAAGAGTTGGGGGACACAGGGGACAAGGTGAACACAAGCCAGCAGCGTGTCCCTGAAGCAGAGAAGGCCAAGCCCATACTGGCTGCACTAGCAAGAGCGTAGCCAGCACATCGAAGGAAGTGATTCTTCCCCTCTATTCAGCACTCGTGAGACTACATCTACAGTGCTGTCTCCAGTTTTGTCTTCCCAGTGTAAGAGACATCGAACCCAGGGCAGATGGCCGCCACAAAGATTTGGAGATGGAGCACATGGCATACAAGGACAGGCTGAGAGAATCTGAAGTCAGCCTGGAGAGGAGAGGCACCAGACTCTTTTTGGAGGTGCACAGCAAAAGAATGAGATACTAAAAACCCAAGATTCTGCAAGGAAAATTCTCGTTAGATCCGATTAGGAAAGTTTTCACAAAGAGTGGTTCAGCACTGGAACTTCACAGAATTACAGAATCACTAAGGTTGGAAAGGACCTTCAAGATCATCAAGTCCAACCATTAATCCAGCACCACCGTGTCCCCTAAACCATGTCCTGAAGTGCCTCATTCTCTAACCTTGTGCCCCACCAGGTTATGAAGGATGCTTGGAGGATAGGCACCTGCGCAAGGCCTTGGGTTACCTCATGTAACTTTGAGATAGGATCTAATTTCCAAGGTGGCTCTGCTTCGAGTGAGGGGTTAGACCAGTTAATCTCAAGAGATACCCTTCAAGTTACTACCTGATTCTGCATATGCAATTTTGTACTTTGTTTGCTCTGTGTAAAAATAATGTAGTACAGAAAAAGAGACATCTGATGACTGAGGTAGCCCTTGCTCTTTCTACCATGCTCTAGAAGAGCTTAAAAATTCAGAAAAAATACAGACTTTTTGCTTGGCTGACCTTTGACAGAACTGCTGTCTAGGCAAGCCAACACTGAAACAGCATCAATGCAACTAGCCCAAAGAGTGAAATTTTTTAATAGCTTAATCTACAGAGCTATAGACTCAAAGTCCAATACATGGAGCCAACAGAAATTACAGCATGATTTGGAACAAAAAAAAAAAAGGTAATCACCAACAAAACAGCCGCATGTCATGTTTGGTGATTAACATAAACAGCTCTTTTTCTATTGCAGCTTGTGAAAATGTCTGTATAAACACTCACGGTGAATGCAATTATGCTACTAGCTGCAGCTAAAACAGAGAAATTAGCCCAAGTCAAAGGACCAAAAATAGCTAACAGTTGGCAAAGTAAATGGGGAATGCAGCTTTTAACAGAAACTCTACGACTACTCCTCCTTCATGCTAGTCTTGCTCAGTATCTCAACCTGTGAGCCAATTTAAAAGGTGAAAATTCAGTCATTCAAGATGTATGGAAACCAATTTATTGGCATAATTATAAAGAAAAGAACAATTTTGTTTCTTTCACAACAGGCTTGAAAAACTACCAAGATGATCTCATACCTGTTAGTAAATTTCACACCATTCTTCTGGGTATCAACTATTCCATATTTTGAATTGTTACGGAGAACTTTTTCCTCCTTGCAAGTTATTCGAAAGTGATGTCCAAATTGTGAATTTGTCTCCAGTTTGATACTTTTGCCAGCTTCCAAACCTTTTAGATGAAAAGAAAGAAAAAAGAAAACAACTGTATTATCAAAAATCCTGCAGCCTGTGCTATTTCTGCTCGCTAATCCCCAGTTTGAATGATTTAGCCTCTCTCAGATACACTATTCAGTACACTTGTTTTGATTCTGGTGCAGGTATAAGAAATATCCAGACCTAACAATAGTTTACTGATTCATTATCTGCTCTTACTTTGATATGTTCTCAAACTGCATATGCAAATCAGGTTCACAATTATTGTATTGTTACATATTCTCCAGAAACGTGAAAAAAGTTCATAGTGCACTGCAAGGACATTCTATATTGCTGCTGTAAGCACAGAACCTATAGTCTTGTGATCCTTTTACTAACACATACTTCTACTGGTAAGTTTTCTCATTCCATCCCTATACAGTCTCGTCTTCCCTTCTTTTCGTCCAGGTATCTTGTTTACACCAAAAAAAATATCAAGATTAAAAAATATGCAACACCTTAAAAGGTGTAACCTAAAATAACTATGGTGTTGCCAGTTTTTCTCGCCATATTTGCATTAAAAATTGATTATCTTTTTAAGTTATTCTTAAATAACTTAATATTCTAATAACTTAAATATTCTTTGAATGCCCTACTAATCAGCTGCACATGGAATTTTTTGCATAGGATAATCAATTATTTAAATGTCTTTTTTGATTACACATTACATTTTGCAAAGAAATTCAAAAGAAAATTAGCATGTCCTGAATGGACACTCTGGGGAACACACTGAGGGGAGTAAGAGAGAAGTTTCAATGCACATCCTCAAAGGATGTAAAATAGAACTAGCCTTCGCCAAAAAATTGGATGAGTTACAGTTCTACAAAATGAATTTGGCAGTATCTCGCAACATATATGATAATTTCTGAAATACTCTGCAATGCCATGCTTAAAAAAAAAGGCCAATTTATAAACCAAGAACCACTCAGTTTTCAACAGATTGTACTGTGACAACTAAAGTCACTCCAAACTAATAATAAAATAATACAAATGTCCTTTAACTCCTCTATATCAGTTTTCATCTCTTGATCTCAAAACATTTTACAAAAGAGGTAAGAATCAAAGGCAGTTTCATACCCTACCTAGTTCTTTGGCTGCACTCTTTAAAAAGGACTGCATTTTTTCTTCCAGTTCATTCATCTTCTCTCTTAATTCTGTCAAATTAGGATCAAAAGAAGCCTTGACAAGAAATTCATGATTCTCTACCTAGGGAAAAACAACAAGGGAAAAAAAACCAACAAGAAAAAATTCACATGAACACAGGCAGTAAAAAAAATATCACCTCCCTGATCATACATGGTGAGATGAATTTACTTAAGTTATTCAATTTATTTTTTACATATATAATTTTTAATGCAATGTTGCTTGTGATAACTGGTGTCCAATTCAACTACCATACAAATACATCTCAAACACTTGTTTTCTTAAACAACATACTTTATACAAGCAAAAAATACCAATTTACCAGACTTGACTTCGAAAATAAGGTGGGCTCTCCTCCCGCTGACACGCCTGATCCCAGCAGGTGTGAAACTCCCTGGATTCACCCCAGGGATGGCCTCTAAAAATCAGCATGGGTGTGTAGAGCACATCAGCAAGGAAGTAGGTTGAAGATGAGCTGTGGTTTCAGACTTCAAAAAGCTAAGTATTAAGTGTAAGCTAGTTGTAACCATTGCAATCAAGAGGCAATGCTATGGAGGATAATTCATCCCACCGTTCTCTGACAGGCGCCTCCAAGAGACTTTTTCAACAAGAAATCAACACCCCTCCCCACTGGCTGGGCAGAACCCAGAGTATGACTCTGGCTGGCGAGGGGAGGTCAATGTGCTCTGTCTACAGCTTGAGATCCCTTCAAAGCACCTTTCCGGTAGGTAAGTAATGGTTTTTGCTGTCCATTAAGGTACATATATGTTTTTAAGAAGGAGCTGAAGGACATGAGGTGGCAATGGTCGGTACTGACTGAGAACAGTAAGGGAGGCAGGAGATAAAATGCTAAGATTCTGATGCTGGGCATAGGTGAGGGAGGCACTGAAGGTGGCAGAGCAACGTGGTTCAGCACAGGTGTGGACTGGCAGTCAGACATGGCAGAAAGAAGTTGGGCAGCCTTTTAATGCTCCTCCTCAGTGACTGTGTTTGAAGAGTGGGAACCAAAACAGGGACATCATCACAGGAGCAAGTCCTAGGACAATCTTAACAGCATGTTAAGTGAACCTCAGGGAATCTGGGTTGTTGCTGTAAAAGTCAGAGGAGAAGGTGGCTCTCTGATAATCAAGGGTGAGGGGCTGCAAATGGTTGGACAAAAGCACTGGCAGAGTGGGAAAGGAAGACAGTTTAGGTACAAAAATGAACAGATAGAACCAGCAAGATACGGACTCTGCATGGATACACAGATCAAAGGACAGAGGTAGGTTAAAGATGAAACACAGAGTAAAAGCTTGAATCAATCTACTTAACATGTCCTAGTGCATGAAACCTAAGGTGTGACATATATAAGGAACACTTTAATTAAGAGAGGGGGGAGAACTGGCAACAAAGAAGTGAAAGACATCCCCGAATCTGGGAGCTACATTGCTGTAGCTGGATGGAGCTTTCATAACTTAGGATCATTGCACCAGGGCTGGCCTCTAAGCAAAGCCTTTTGATCCAGCAGAAGGCAAATCTTCCTCTAAGTTCAATGGGAGCAAGCTGAGGCCACGTGTTAAGGGATAAAACTTAGTGTGTGACTTGATAGTCACATTCATCTGTAGTAAGAGAAAAATATAGAACTAGTCTCATATGGTAGCGTTTCACACCTGGCTGCTGCAAGTACAAATGCATTCATAGACGCTAGCTGTGGAGAGGCCAGGTGAGAGATCTTCAATGCCAAGTGAAGTACCTGTGCCATATCAATGCCATAACAAAGAACAAACTAGAAATGTGTTTAAAAACAATATCTAAATCATTAAGTCTAAACAACACCTTCTTAGGATTAACCAGGCTTTTCCCATTCATTAAGAAAGGCAATGAAGCTGGTGAAGGGTCTGGAGCACAAGTCTTCTGAGGAGCGGCTGAGGGAACTGGGGTTGTTTAGTCTGGAGAAGAGGAGGCTGAGGGGAGACCTTATCGCTCTCTACAACTACCTGAAAGGGGGTTGTGGTGAAGTGGGTGTTGGTCTCTTCTCCCAAGTAACTAGCGATTGGACAAAAGGAAATGGCCTCAAGTTGCGCCACAGGAGGTTTAGACTAGATATTAGGAAAAATGCCTTCACTGAGAGAGCGGTCAGGCATTGGAACAGGCTGCCCAGGGAGGTGGTGGAGTCACCATCACTGGAGGTGTTCAAAAAACGCATAGACGTGGCACTTCAGGACATGGTTTAAGGGGCATGCTGGTGCTGGATTAACGGTTGGACTTGATGATCTTGAAGGTCTTTTGCAACCTTAATGATTCTGTGATACTGTATTGCATTACCCACCCCAACTATTATAGGGCAGCTCCTTCCTCATTCAGGCCTCATGAAGTGACCCTTAGCAGGTGACAAACAGAACGGCTCAATCTGATCACACTCTCCAAGTGAAAGCTAAGTGTGACCAAGTGAATAGAAAACATTTTAAAATGAAATTAAAAGTTCAGTAAAACTGCTAAGGAAGTAAAATGATGATGGTTTACTAAAAATATTAAAAATTTGTGCTACTAATAAATATATAAAAGCATCAGGCACCCACAACTGTATTACCCTCGTCTAACATTCTTCTCAAGCTGTGCTCCTCCTACAGCAGTATCTTGGATATAATTAGGTATGTCACTTAAAGCAAACTTTTGCTTTTCCCTTACACAGCCCTCAGTGTGAACATGGCCAGCTATCTGGCAGGACAAGCATTAACAGGAATGTGTTATTTGAGTTCTTGGTGCTTTGTGCCTAATGAATCTACCATCAGTTATGGTCCAGTAAGGCTACACCTCATAGAAAAATGGAAGGAAATATCAGTAAACTCAACTTACTCCCCTCTCATCACCCCAAAAGAAGAATAAAATTACTCATCATCATCATGGTATTTCATCGATATACTGATTACTGAAATGCACTGAAGTCTAAATTACAAATCAATACTGCATTAAATACAAATGTTAAATTTGCTTCAGAGATTAAGGAATGCAAAAGACATGTGCAACAGATTGGTCTGAACACTCTTGCTACCACCTTCACTCTCTACACATTTTACCAGCAAGAGTCATGCAAAGGGTTATAATGAAAGCAAACCCCTAGCAGCTAGACATTCCCTTTTGTTCTACTAAACACATTGCATTTTTTTAATGTAAGGTTTTGCTCAGAGCTACTCTGAAATGAATGGTCAAGGTATAAAATATTTAATGTGGTAAGTAGCAGACTAACATCACAGCACTGACAACACTTTCATACCTGCATATGTTTACTTACATGAAATAAGACCCAAGGGAGTCACATTTCCAAGGGGTGCTCAAATGAATGAAGTGACAGCAAATAATTTGCAGACTCTGGGACTACACTGAGCTAGCTAGCTAATCTGAAAAACAAGTCCTTCTGCAAAGGGCTGTGCTCTTAATACTGAAACCAAAACACTATAAACCGAAAGCACTAACAAACTTTGAAGTTGCTCTGACTTAAGTAGGAGGCTGGAATAGATGGTTTTTAGAAGGCCCCTTAGGATTCTGTGAAAGACAGGAACGTAAGTGACGGTTTCTCAATTTTTATTACAGCTAGGTAAATGAATAACCACATCCCACACTTTTTGAACTTAGACTTCTTTTTATATTAGAATGGATTATTGACATAATTTAGTTGCTATGACAACCTCTCCTTCAATCACACTCAGAATAGAGTATTTTGTTTGAACTCCCTAAAAATCTAAGAGGAATTTCAAGTCAAAGTTCAAGTTTTAGCATTCATATGGACAAGGTTTATTCTTCCTGTAAAACCAGTGTTGGCTTATCTATAGCCATTTTCCAGTATCTTGGAGGGGAAAAAAACCCAACACATCTGACACCAGATTCTATGGAACTTGGTTAAAAATAACTGGCTTGTTATTCTGTTTAGAAGGACAACAAAACCTTTTTAAAGTAGAAGCTGAAAAGAAATTTGAAGAGCTGGACTATGAAGGGTGAAGGCTTAGAACAGCTGTTAGTTTTAAAGAAAACAGAGTCCCAGGGCATACAAACTGCATCAACAGATGGTCTGTAACTAGTATAAAGCTATAATTTTTTTCATTAGCATATATCACAAATTACAGCAACATGTCAATCAAACAGTCTTTCCTTAAACAGCAAAACGCAGTTGATGAACGCATACACAACACACAGATAAAAAGTGGTGCTTCTGCCTTTGGAGAAAAATACGCATGTTCAAAATTTTAAAGCCATTGCAGTTTTCAAAAGTTCAACACCTTGCCCTTACTACCATGCCTGGCACATGGACACTTATGACAATGCTAAAAGCCTCCCAAGTTTTCCAAAATGACTTACTGAGTCATTTCCAAAACATCTTATTGAGAAAGGAACATTAAATCTGTTTCTAACCAAGCACATACATTCCAAAATGCGCCTCACCAATTCTCTAGCAAAGTAATGGGAAAAAGTGATAATACAAAACTCACTGAAAACCTTGGCATTGTTTCACTTAGTTAAGCAATGGTTCATGTTTTTGCCTGTCCCCTAAGTGTTCAATGTTAAATAACAATAAATCAGTCATTTAAATTCATCCCTTCTCCATTCAGCTTCAGATTTAAGGAACAGGAATGTTCCTTCCAGCTTTCTTTGGCCAAATTTTCTTCTAAAAAAAATGCCAGTTTTCCCTTGCAAGCATAGTCCTATTATCAGTAATAAGCAAGTGTGGATGCAAGGCTATGAGAATTTCATAGCTTTCTCTCTAGTGACAAATGTCTTTACACCAGAAAGTAAAGTCAGTCTTTACACCTAGGTGAATCATTTTTCAGGGAGGCAAACTTAATTAGGAAGACTTAATCCCACCAAATAGAACCTAGTCTAATGCACTATATAGAAGCAGAGAAATATGTAATAAACATATTCTGGCTACATTCTAAATTTGAGACATATCATAGTTAACTTTGAAAATATGAAGAAGCAGAGAAGTGACAAAATAACTTCCCCACTTTTAATACGGATGACTTTAAAAAAAAAAAAATAGTTTCAGGTCCACAGCATCCATGTACCCACTTTTTCATTGGCTAAATAACTTCAGACAGTGGGTAAATATCCTCTTGATATTCAACTGCTATACTAATAATAGTCTTCACATATTCCACAGCTAAACTATCACTAACTACTTAATATAGATGATCAATTAAATTTAGTGACTGTAGAGCAGATTGCAAAGTTCAATAAGAAACTTTAATTGCTAAGTAAACCCCCTCCCACTCACCAGCCCATACCTTATCCATGTCCAATGTTGTTTCTATCATCTCCAGAAACTTTGAGAAGTCAGAGTAGATATCATTAAGAGGTGTTATAAACACTGCCAACAACAACATCTGGTGAGCTCCTGTTAAGAACAAACAAGAAAAATTGAAAAATTGTCATTCACAAAACTCTGCAAGTTTACCAGAATTCACTTATCCAAGATAAACAGCACAATTATATAGTTGGTTAATTTTTATTAAGATTTATTATTTCATTGACACACATATACCTTTTTCTAAAATTAGCATTATCCAATTTATATTCTGATTAAGTTTGTACCTATTCTGTCATCTTTGTATCTGGTGGTATTAATCCCTTCTACTATGAGTAGAACTACAGAAAAACAACACTTTGAAAGCAAACCTGCTATCTGAACTATTCTCGCACATAGAAAGTTGAAATGGCTTTAGTAAAACCTGCATTCTACAGCAACCAATTTTGAAGGTACAAAGTGGAAGCCTCATCATCCACAGTTCAGAGTTTTGAATTCTTCTTAATTCAAAACTGTGAAAAATTGGGAATACTTGGTAGGTTACAATTTGGGCAAGAATAGGAATTGAGGTGTATATTATTTTTTGGTTTTGTTTTCCTTAGAAAAGGCCAACTGCTTAACCAGATCTTTATAGTCACTGATCTTTCCACTAAATAGGAAATCATCAAAATTAAATTAGTCTTTTCCAATGTATTTGGAATTTTATTCCAATATACTAACATAGTACAGATACTCTGTGGCACCAAGTATAACTGCATAGCACACATATTGGTTGGAAGTCCACAGAACACCGTAAGCATCGAATGCAAGATGCGATTCACAGTTAATTCCACATGCACAGATATTGCCAATTTTGTGAAAGATATGTTTTCTTCAGGCCTAAAAATAAGCACCTATCCAGCAGCTGTGAAAATGCTGTCAGTAAACGAACTTTTACATCTCTGCAGCCACTGCAAGTTATTAATCACATAACGATTAGCATTATTGACTATATGATTTACACAAAATGCCTCAAACAATACTATGAGCTTATAGTCATTGGATTATGTACAGAATTATGACATTTGCCTCCAATGTTTACAGGCAAGGCTTTGAACATTAACAAAGAAACACAGAATTAAGCTCTGACTGTTCCAGAGCCTACCAATTTCTTACCAGACCAGGAAAAAAGTCCTAATCTTTCCTAAGAAAATTATCATACTTATAAAAGTCACACAGTGAGGACATGATTACCCAAGGGAATCTCTCTCCTCTCTCAGCACTGTAACTCAAGTAGAAAGAAAAAGTTTGGTTTGTTTCCTTTTCCTTATGTGCTTTTTTACTTCCCCACTCCCCCAAGCTTTTAAAGTTAAAGCTCTTAACTGATTAGTATCTATTAATAGAGAAAAAAAATACAAGAGATTATTTAACTTGTAAAAATGGAGTCTTCTGCTGACTAAAAATCTTCGAAACTAAGAGAGAACTGAAATAAAGTACAGCTTGCTTTTTAGTCCAAATCTCTTGCTCTGTCACATTACCCGCCCCCATAAGAAGACACATCTAAACCAACCTAGAAAAATAGGGTAAGAAAGAAGAGACTGAAGAGCAGAAAAGAAGTTTCATGTTCATTCTTCAGAGTGGACTTAGCAGTTCCCAGTGCATCAGCTGGGAGACTGCATGGCACACACAATGAAATGATCTTCAGTATTCTTGAATTAATGAAAAATGATTGTGCTTGAAGTAGCAATTACAATTTCTTTCCTTGAAAGGAGTAAACGGCCAAGTTTTGTGATACTATTCAATTATTTAAGTTTGAAGGGTACATCTTCAGACACCATAGGGAGATGTCACATTCAAAAATTAGAAAATATTCATTTATTAAGTAAATAAAATACTAATGTGTTTACATATAATTTATTATATGGTTCAAACTGATACACTACAAAATTGATTTACACTTTCAATCCAACTTCATATTCAGTATCCAACACTTGAAGGAAGTAAAATAGTGGAGTCTGTGAATACCGACTATTCTTAAAAGTTGTATGTGCATGCTTTTCATAAAAGCATAACACTTGGCATTAAAAGAATATGAGCAAGAAACAAGATTGAAAAAATTCTAAATTAAACTCCAACTTGTCTTGCACCTGCATTCACAAACTCCCATAAAAGATGCATGGTAAAACAAACACACTTTTGCACCTACTCAACGTTATTAGCATGTAAGCTAACCATTGAGAGAAAGAGTAATAGACCTATTTACCATAAAAAGCAGAAATGCATGTTGATCACAAAGCCTACCCATCTGCTCCCAGGTACAGTTTTTAATTTAAACCATAATTTACTTACTCAAGCACAGGTGTTTACAACATGCATTAAAAACTTTACTATTAATATGGTTTAAAACATTATACAGAAATTAAAATCAAGCACTAATTGTCAAACTTGAAACATTTATATAGTTTGGCAGCAAACAAAAGTATGAAAACTGAAACTATTCTATCAAGGGAAAAAAGACAAATCTCAACAACAAATGCACTTAAACCAGCCCTTTTGATGCTACAAATGGTCTTTAAAAATGATGAGGAAAGAACAAGGAGCAAACCAGAAATTGGGACAAAATACAGTACGAGTTTACTAGAGGTGGATCACACCTGTATAGCGCAACATCTGTCTGAGACAACTGATTGCCTAAGGCAAAGGGAAATCTGTAGACCTAGTCTAGGCTCTTCTAAAGCATTCACAATATGGTGTCACATGGGATGCTGAGATGCAAGATTCATGACTAATACCATGATCAGAAGGCAGATAGAGGACATCACCAACTTGCAAAAGATGAATGAGCTGGAAGGACACTAGTAATACAGTTCCTCCAAGGCTCATACAAGCATTTATCTTTAAGATGTGTGAATTAATTATATCAATGCACAAAAGAAAGCTGCTTATAAAATTCACTAATATATACAATGTGGAAGATCTCAGAAGAGGAAATAGGAGCAAAATAAATCAGGAACATAACTAATCGACCTTGAAAACTGAGCTAATAGAAATGAAGCAAAATTTAACAGCGATTAAGATGACACATCGATAGATAAATGAATTTCCACTATGAGTAGGGGAATAATCAGCTGGAAATGACAACGGAGAGGAAACAGCCAAGTTCAATCATAACATGGTTGTAACACACCAGTGCAACAGTCATGGAGAGAACATTATTTGGAACACACAAGAAGTGGTATTTCCAAAAGCAGTAAGGGGGTATTCAAACTACTGTATACAATATGGTAAAAGGATACCTGGAACCCAGCATACAATTTCTGTATCCTGCGTATTTACAGGCTTAAAATAGAGTGTCTTTCTAAGATGAGAAGGAAGATGCTTCAGCAGCTTCTTGAACACAAACATCTTGTAAGTACTTAGATTTTATGCCACAGCAATTTGAGTAATGAACAACTGCTCCCTCTTGCCAGCAAAAGCAAAATGATGACTCAGAGTCCTTTCCTGTCTTATGCAGATTTGTTATGCCTAAAAAAATGTCATCTTCACTCATTACCCCCCTCTTCAGCTTTCATCATCCACAAAAACAAGCATCTCAAAGCAATGCTTCATACTGAGGGAAAGGCAATCACTGCTGACCGCTTCATGATGTAGTTGCTCTCTTTCTCTACAGCCATTCACAAGAAAATAAAGTTCTGAAACCGGCAAATACTCAGAATTGTCAAAAATCTTTCTGACTTTCCATCTCTTGATGAGTTAAAAGATTTTATACAGGCTTAAACAGGAAAATTTAGATCCAGTCTGATTTAGTCACATACATTCAAAATTACTAGACCATTCTTGTATTTTAAACAAGGGCATACAAGTACAAAGAAAAATAAAAATAACACATTTCACCTATTTTAAATTATCTTAGATATACTGCTGATAAATGCCCTACTAAGGCCGACTGATTCACATGTAAAACAGCAAGAACCTTTTGCAGTCTATTAATTTTTCCATATGGTGAGCTTAGCAGTTCGCCTTACACAGCTTGCTCCTCAAAACTTCTAAAAATGGAATCATTTTCCTACCCCAACGTTATGACAGAGAAACTCTGTTGATCCAAATGACAACTAACAGAACAAGAAGTAAAGACAGGAGGTGAGCGTTTTTAACCAATACCTCAATTTAAGATGGAAATCCAAGAGATCCATGCCAGGACAAAACCAAGCAGAGTCTGTTTGGAAAAGCCAAAGGGACATGACTGCGGCAACTAAAGCATGGCACAGCTCTTTAACAAAAAAAAAAAAAAAAAAAAAAAAAAAACTTGTACCTGTCAGTTCCCTCTCAGTTTTAGATCTTAATGGCTTTTGGAAATAAAATAAATTTTGTTGCTGGCTGTGTAAAGATTAATATTTGAGAAGATAAGTTTCACTGCTTAAAGTCATAAAACTATACTACAGAAAAGTATAAAGATACTGGGTAATATTACTGTCTACTCAAATGCAGGAAATAAATTTTTGTAACTGTCCCATTTAAAAAATTATTTATTTTTAAGGCTTTGGTGCTTGCTTTATGCAAAGAATTTTTCAAACAAATTAATGGGCTTTACAAAAATATGCTTTCTGACAGGCTAATACTGCTATTGCTATATTGGATCACCCTCCTGTTACGCTGATACTAATCTTATTCTGCATTTTCTTGATAACACATAGAAAAGAAATAGCAATCTTTGTATTTTCTAGACTTGCGTGTCATAGCATTGAGTTTCTATTAATGAAGATCAGAAGAAACCCTGGAATGTTACTCTAATCAAATACAGGAACATTACAATTTTGAAAAAAAAACACCAAATTATACCAACAGTACTTAAACTTTTTTTTTTGTTTAATTACAACCCAAAGAACAAAGTGTCTATAAAAGGAACATGACATTACTGTATGAATGGTTATCTTGTTTTTAAGATCATAACACACACGCAATCAGTCAGGAATTCTCAGAGACAAGTCAACGTCAAAGATTATCAGACCTTCACCCAACAGTTCAGGTATTTCAGCTACACACTAACTGGAAATCTTTTTGCATAAGGAGTATTTCTGAATTTCAGGTCATTTCAAATTCAAATGTCTTTAAGCTTTATTCCTGTAACAAAAGTACACAGGAAAAAAGTAATCTTTGGAAGTCTACACATTATCTCTTTGCATCATCAAAGTAGTATAAAACATTGAAAATAGACAGGGGTAGTATTACCTTCATGTTTTTGTAGTGCTTGTACAACATTAGGCAGCTGATTAATAGCCTGATACATTCGGTAACAGTCCTGTAAGTTTGCTGCTTGTTTCTGAAATCTCTTTGCCAGCCGGTTAAGATCTGGGAAGCGACGTAAGAGATCTTCTTGAAGGCACTGACGTAGTTCTGGATCCACCACAAAAGCTTCAACCAAATTCAATCTAAATAAGAAGCTTGTAACAATGATTATCATGGCATGGTCTACAATTCTTTTATGTCACCAATTACAATGAAAACATTTATCCGTCAGTTTTTATCCATCCTTCCTTTATAACTGTGTCCATTGGCCAACTTTCCTGATAAAAGAACAAATGAAACTAGGACAAATGCACGAGCTAAAAAAGCAAGGATATTTAGCCTATGTCATGCTTCTGTAGTTTCTAACAGTTGGGGTATCTATTGAGCAGTATTGGAGAGAAACTGTGTCAAGCACAAATGTCAGTATCTGTTCCGTAGGTATGTCAAAGCTCAGAATCTACTTTGAGATTAATCCTTTCCCTGCACCATAAAAAAGGTCTTCCGGTAGTCTATGAAAAAACATATTAAGTAGGAAAAACCCACACTGTAGGAAAAAATCACTCTTGGGAACAGTTTAGCTCTCTGCTGTCAGAGCCAATACTGACACTGTGCAGCTATGCAACCCCAGATCACAGAACCAGAATCCTTGAGGTTGGAAGGCACCTCTGGACATTGACTACTCCAACCCCTTTGCTCAAAGTAGGGTCAGCTAGAGCCAGCTGCCCAGGACTGTGTCCAGTCACGTTTTGGGTATCTCCAAAGAGGGCCCCAGTATCAATCCCTGGGATATACCACTAGTGACTGGCGTCCAGCTGGAGTTCATGCCCCTGATCACAATCCTTTGAGCCTTGCAGTTCAGCTAGTTTTCCATCTACCACACTGTTGATTTGTCTAGTCCACACTTCACCAGATGTGAGGCAGTGACAAAAGCCTCCTGAAGTCAATATAAACAATATTCACCGCTCTCCCCTTATCCAACAACCTAGTCAAATTTGTTGTAGAAGGCTATCAGGTTGGTCAGCCATGATTCTCCCTTTGCAAATCCATGCCAACTACTTCCAACCACCATCCTGCCCTTACAACGTTTAGCAATGCTTTTGAGGATTATTTGCTCAATCACCTTCCCAGGGATGAAGATGAGGCTGACCAATTTGCACTTCCCTGGATAGTCCTTTTTGTCCTTCTTGAGTATTGGAAGAAAGCAAATGTCACCCCTATTTTCAGAAGCCTCCTCCAATCACCATGACCTTTCTGAGACAATGAAGATTGGTCCCTCAATGACTCTGGCCAGCCACCTCAGCACTTGTGTATAAACCTTGGGTGCCAGGGACTTGTGTGTGTCTAATATGTTTAAATGTTTGCTAACCTGATCCTCCTCTAATGAGGTTGTGCTTTCTTTGCTCCAGACTTTGCCACTGGTTTCAGGTGCTTGAGATTCCTGAAGGCAAATCTTAACAGTAAAGACCATTGTGAGTGTAAGAAAGAGGTGTAAGAAGCCTTGTCTGGGGCCTCCTCATCTTCACATGAGAGCTGCATTCAAACTAAGGCACTCGTCCTTAGTTCTCACCTAAGCTATTCTGCAGCCATGCGTGTGCCTGGCCATGCACTCCACTGATCAAGAGCATGGCCCATTGACTTGACTACCTTGCTTCACCTCTGATCATCACTAGAGACTTGCCTGGAGACCCAGATTATTGGCCAAACTTGGTTACTGTCACCAGATATACCCTCTTTGCCTCATGCAGGTATGAGGACTGTGTCCTTATCAATGAGGGTACTGTTTCCATGTGCCTTGTTGTCACCATTGACTTCCAGCTTGCCTTCCCTTTAGCCTGCCCTTGCTGCTGCTCCCTGACATTTTGGTTTTTTGTTTTTTGGGGGTTTTTTTTGTTTGTTTGTTTTTTGTTTTTTTTAATAGTGAAATAAATATTCTTTAAGTGATGAAAGCAAGAAAAAAATCATCTCAGTGAGAAGGGACAAAGCATTAAGTTGTATTTTCCCCACTAGAATGTAAGAGAACTGTCCTGGTTTCAGCCAGGATAGAGCTGGTTTTCTTCATGAAGCTAGTGTGCGACTATGTCTTGGATCTGGGATGAGAAACTGTTGATAACATGCTGATGTTTTGGGCTGTTGCTAAGTAGTCAAGGACAGTCCAGCTTCTCGCCTGCCAGCGAGGAGGCTGGGGGTGCACGGGGAGCTGGGAGGGGACACGGCCAGGACAGCTGACCCAGCCTGGCCAAAGGGATATTCCCTACCATACGACGTCATGCCCAGTACATAAACTGGAGTTGGCCGGGGGGGCAGAAATCACTGCTCGGGGACGGGCTGTCGATCGCCGGGTGGTGAGCAATTGCTGTATCGGGCATCACTTGTTCTTGTACTTTCCTTTGTTGGTATTATTATTGTTGTTATCATTGTTGTTTCTTTCTCTCTTTCTGTCCTATTAAACTGTTTTTATCTCAACCCACGAGTTTTTTTCCTAATTCCCTCCCCCGTCCCACTGGGGGAGGGGGAGTGAGTGAGCAGCTGCGTGGAGCTTGGTTGCCGGCTGGGGCTAAACCACAACAAGAACTTTCATACATTTCCTGCTTTCTTTTTTCCACCAGTTAACATTGTCATCTTTACATATTTTGTATTACTTTGCATTTGCAGTTAAACAAAGAAAGTCAGACATTGATTATTTTGGAATGACAGAGAGTTCAGTGTTCCTTCTGAAGTGTCACCAAATATGAAGGAAGAATTCTGCCCCTTTCAGAGACCTCCAGCATGTTGATTTCTGGTGAATCCCATTAACATGCTATTTATCAATATCTTGACTTCAGCAGAGAAGTTAATTTCATTTAAAGACATGCAAGCTCTCACATTATTTCTACTGTTTTGCTTACTAGTAGAAAATGGCATCAGTTTCAATAACAGGAACATTCACACTTGAAAACTGCATTGGAAATTACAAATTTTTTTGTCATTTTGAAAGCAGTAATCTCTACATTACACCATGCAGTGATCTGGAGAAAGCACTAGACACTTGAAACAGTACACAGAGATTAACATGGTACACTGCTTCAGCTAATTAGTAAAGACAGTCACTCAAGAAACAAGGGCTTTGTCTAAGGTAACACAAGAGACACACACCCCTGGACAAGTAGAAATACATTTCTGTATATAAAAAATTCAAAAGGAATGCCCTTCTGTTGCAGAAAGTGTTCTACCCACACCACTCCAGTGAGCCTTCTGTATTATACCAAGCGAAATCAATTAAAAAGAGAAGAATCCTACCTCTACATTTACCCATTCAACTATTGCTCTAATAAATACCTAGCAGACTTAAGACTCTCAAACTTTTCTCAGAAGCACCAGCAGCAACTGGTGACCAAAACACACTTTGTAAAGATCAGGTTTTTTTAATATTAAAAAAAAAAAACCAACCCAAAGACACACAATTGCTTAACAGTCTAAATATAAGCGTGCTAACCAAATGTCTGCCCACTTTGCCAAGGGGATTACAGAAGGAATAAATCCTACCTGCAGATCTTCCCCTCAAAGTATCTTCAGCCCTGGCAGAGCTTACTGAAACTAGGGGCAGCATCTGCCAACTTGTTCCTTTTCACTGGAACCAAGTAACTTGGCCCTTTTTAGTCCTGGAAACAATTCCTTTGGCAAAAAAAGATCAGATTCACTGAAAACTTATTCATAAAGCAATACCCATGTGTTCTTACTGTTACCCTGCTTGGTCTTTACCAGTTATGGTCATGGCAAATGCACACAAGAGGTTGGGCTATTCTGATGTTATGTCCTCTCAATTCCCAGGTGGTATGCAGGATTTGTAAATCTATTTATGACTTCTCAATTACTAAAATATCACCACACATCAATTTGTAAAGAGGCAGTAGTCACAAATACCTTCGTATTTTCTTACCTACAAAGCTGCATGAAGTTCTAGTTTAGAACACCCTTTCTTCACTTAATAAAAGTACTGGGAAGAAAGCAGCACACACATTTGGAGGGTTTAAGAGTATAAGAGTTAAGTTTAATCCAGAAAAATACTACTCTTGCCTGGGGTAGGAAACCAGGGTTTGGTGGGCTTATCCAACCAGCTTAAGCTACAGACTACTCCATGGTTTCCACATTAAATTTCCAGTGTAAAAACTATTTTCTCTGATTTTGATGACCAATCTCAGACATGTAGGAATATGCAAAAATCAAGTTAATCCTCTACATTATATGCCATCTTGCCCTCCAATAGCTTAGGTTTCAGGCCAGAGCATTTAGTTTCTCTTCCAAGAGGTCCTTACACAGTCAATAACCCTGACAGTTGCACACACACGGGATCAATTCTTGGAACTTACTGAATTTTGCACTTGGAAAAGACCAGCAGCAACGGTTTCTACAATGCCACCATACCTTACATTTAAAAGCCAACTGCACAGAGACTTGCCTTCAGCCTGACACACAGATGCCCAACACCCTTTCTGAATTCATGTAGAGCTCTCTAAGACACAGGCAGATTACTTTCTTTCCATACACACTGCTTTATACTGATTCTCATTAAAATCCAAACCATCCCTCCAATCAGTCAGGCTGGTTTGGTTTTCATTAAAAGTTTGGTCCTTTCTTGTGTCACCTATATAAATGTCACTACCTTACTAGCCAGCTGCTATCCTGATCATTAGAGAATATCTCAAGTGCAGCTTCTGGACTCCTGAGCTTACCTTTGCTAAGATTAAAACCTTTTTTTTTTTTTTTTTTTTTGGCTAGTGCCTTTTACACAAACAAACCCTTCACTTTCATCCCACGATTCCCTCCGCTTGTTCAACACCCTCTTGGATAAGAGCTTGTCACAGGCATTCTGAAAGCTCTAATTTATTCCTTTTTTTTTTTTTCCTCCTTTGTCCACAACAATGACAAGTTCAAAGAGTTCTCAGATCAGCATGATACAATTTTCCTCTGCCAAAACGATGCTAATTAGACTAACATCTCATGACCTTCCTAGCATTGTTCTCTCTCTCCCGCCCCCATATTTGCCAGCCACAAATATAAGGCTGACAGGTTCGTGTTCATGCCAGATTTTGCATAACCATTTCCTGTATGGTAAGAATACGTACAAGGTTGCTGAATAGAAAGGCCTACGTTAACATAGTGCAAC